TCTCGTCTCGTCGTCTACACACACACACACACACACACACACACACACACACACACACACACACACACACACACACACACACGAAGCCCCACAGAGACTGCATCTGCTCAGCTCTGCATCCCCTCTGACGACATTGAAGACACAGAATAATGAAATCCTCCCACTCCTTCATTCATTCGTTTGTCTCCTTTTCTTTTCCTATCTTATTATCCTCACAAAGGCAGTTAGAGATTGCCAAGCAAACACAGAAGAAGAGGAGTGTTATGGATTCATTCATGGCAATTTAGCAACTGGAAAATTAGCATAATTGTCACGATGGTCCAAATCAGAAGAAACCAATATTAAAAAGAGAGTAAGAAATACACTTATACATCATATCATCGGTATAATATGTACAAATAACAATCAACTAGTGCTTAAAGCCATTAAAATACTCTCAATTGACATTCACACAACAGTAGTGTTTTTGTGTAAAAGACAACTAAGTGTCACCATAGAATTAGAATATACTTTTTTTCATGCAATTCATAATGTTACATATCCGTCATCTCATGTACATATTCATAATTGGACTGTGGCTTCAGCTCCCGATCATGGATAAAGTGCCGGATGATGATCCTAGGTTGAACCACATCCTCCTGCAGGCTGACCCCCCCACCCCACACAGGATATCCTGTTCCATAACACACATCCTCTTACACCGCAGACCGGGAGACAACGTAAATACATAAATTTCCCGCATACTGGACACAACAAATGGGTTTTTGCCTTGTGCTTTTGTGGGAAGTGGCTTTTGTCTTTCATAGAAATTATGAGAAAGACAGCGATGATTGTTAAACTCGACTCGAGCGATAAAGATGAATGTGGAGGAGAGTCATGGATACTTACGAATAAAGTAAGAAAAAGTGAAAGAAATAGGTATAAAAAAGTAGCTACCAGTGATGTTACGTTCTGGTTTTTTTCCTGCTCATTGGTATGAAAAAGGCGAGCGAGTCGTACTTATAGCCGTTCTTTTATCATTGTGACCACATTTAAATGCCAGTCCTAAATCTCATCAGACAGGAGGTGAAAGGGGTGTCGTTAAAACATTATTATACTACTGATCTGTGCTTTGTATCTTAAGCGAGAAAAAGGTGGAGTTGGGGCAGAATCGCTTGTTAACCGTTGCAGAATATAACACTGAAATAAATGTTTTTCGGTTTTACATGACCGAAAAAAAAATGATTAGCAGTTCGGAAAGAAATCACTGAAGGTGACTCAGGGTATTACTGGGGTTTTATAAAGGGAACATACAATATTTGATTTTACATTGTATGGAAAAGAATCAAACCACGACGTCTGGAACACCCTTCACATTTGAGATAGCTGGCGGCATCGATGTCTGCTGCAATTATGCTACTCAAAAGGTCTAGTTTGTAGGATTTAATGACATCTAGTGGTACGTTTTTAGATTGCAACCAACTGAATAACCCTCCCTTTCCGTTAATAACAAATGTGAAAACCTTATATTGATACAGAGTTTGGCTTCTGTTTTAAGGCTACAATTAAATCATGCAACATGGCGGACTCTGCGTATAGATATGAAGAGCTTAATGTAAGCTAACGAGAACACAACGATTCTTAGTTTCAGATGTTTCAACACTTGTCAAACATACTTGTGAATATTGCATAGCATTCCTGCTGATAGATCTCCCTAAATATTACACTTTGAATTATCTGTAATTCATAAATGTTTAACTTTATACATGATATTTCCATGATTAGATCCATAGTAGAGTCCTGACAGTCTCGCTGTGGCCTAAGTGAACACAGAAGTGTCAGGAAGTGTGTTTCTGTGTCACGAATGGCCAATCCCTAACCTGTACTTAGTGAACACTTCTGAAACGCAGACACTTTCCTGCTCCTTCAAACCTCTCCACTTGACACTTAAACACACATGGTGAAAATGCTCACACACACCCAAACACACACAAAGTGCTCAGGCATGCATTTTGACCTTGTAGTAGATCTCAAACAAGGCCCGGGGGCCAAATCCGGCCCGCGACTTCATTTTATGTGGCCCCGCAAGAGCTTGCAAAGAATATAATACGTTTATTATACGGTTACATGCCACTTTACAGAAGCAGGTTGCCCATAAACTACACGTCCCACAATGCATCTCGTTTTGTGACGTCCCAATTATTTGCCCTGGACTTCTGCTTTCAGACGTAGTTAATTACTAAGTTATTATCCTATCCGTTAACAATCCAATTCAGAGGCAATAATGTAATATAATACATTATTTTATATATATATATATTATATATTTATATAGTTACAACCGGCCCTTTGAGTGCAACCTATATGTGAATGTGGCCCGCAATGAAATTGAGTTTGACACCCCTGTACTAGATGGAAAAACACAAGGAACAATAGCTCATAAAGCAGCTATAATAAACACAAGTGTTACCGTCACAAATGTAAGAAGAGTTTTTTTTACATGCTTCCTATGCATGCACTTAAACTTAAATACGTCACCGTGCCTGAGCAGCTTTATTCTCCAAGTGGAAAGCATTACTCTCCCAGGAGGCTTAATTAAAAGTCCCACATCTTCATTCCCTAACAACACTTCCTGCACTGAGGGCCTTCAGGTGATTACTACTCGGCTAATTTAACAGGAACAAAAAGCTTTTAGTACAATACAGTAAGTAGTACAGTCATCTCACACCCTCGCCTAGTATGAGGGAATGTGAGCTGCTCTTAACTACAGTCCATGACGTTTAAGAAAATAGAGATTTAGTCTGTGGTTTACTTATTTCATTGTGCAACAAAAACCTGCTTGTTATGTACTCAAGTCGCATCAGCAGTCAGTGTTTTTACTTCAATATAAATCCTGTAATAAGTACTTTGCACGCCTGTTACGTGCTTATCTGTGCTGCACAGTAGCATAGGGATGGAGGCAGCTGTGCACATACTGTCCTGTTTGTCTTTTGCATCAGTTTTAGTTAATGTTTAGCTTGTGGACTTTGCATCTGAATATGACTATTGGAAAAATCAGGGAGGCTCACTCTAAGAAGAATACTGTGATAATCCCTTGTATTAAACATATCAATTCTAACATTATCGTGTACGATGAATGAAATATGCTTTCCTAGAAATGATCATAGGTGTTAATGGAATGTAATCTGGAACAACATTGATGTCTGATCATGCCAACATCATAATGAAAAATCAGATCACCCGATTAATTTAAATCAGGATTATTAATTTAAAAAAAGTTATTGTTCTATTTTATTTGTGAAGAAATGGATACTTTCACCTCACAACTTACTAATCACAAAAATGCCATTAATTGTGATGAAATAACTATTATTTCAGTAGCATTTTAAGGTAATTGTACTGAAGTATTTCCATTTATACTTTTAATATATATTCAACACTACATTTCGGAAGCCAAAGTTAAACTTGTTAGAATATTCAGATTGATAATTGAACCTTAAAGTCAACTCATTAATTGTGATGTTATATTATAAGTAACGCTACAATTAAAATACAAATGTACTGGATTTTTTCCAGCTGAAACAATAAATGAAATTCGCATCAATAAATAAAATTCAACAAAATACATAATTGTAAAATAGTACAATGTGCATAATGAGTACTCTAACTTTAAGTACTTATTTGGTTTTTTTAACCTACAAATTTACTTTCAATACTATGGTATTTCTTCTTTTACATAAGTAAAATATCGGACGTCTTCCACGTCTAGACATTGCTTGATTTTAAAGCCAAATTGAGAACCACATTTGACAATAAATCTGTTTGCAACTTTTGCCTTCAAGCGTGTTGGTTTTTTAAACATAAAACACTGTTGTATGTGATTTCGCCTAAAAACATATGCCTTTTTTTTAGGGTTTAATCTCCTAGTTGCACCCAATAAACTGACCTCCTAATGTAACAAAGACACTTTTACAGAACAAACTGGGAGAAAAGTGTCACCATGAACCTACCGGATGCTCCTCCAGTGCTGATCCAGTCCGGGTTGGCGATGCTGGCGATGGCGAAGATGTCTGCAGTGAGGAAGAGGCATCCTGAAATCACCGTGAGTTTATCCATGTCGGTGCACAAACGGCAGGTTAGAGAGTTTCTGTCTCACCTAAAGGGAGGTGGGACATCCAGCAGCACGAGGACAGCCAGGGTTAGCAACATGAAGGATTGATCCACGATGTTCCTGCACACTGTGTTTGATCCAAATCGTTCCTGAAGAAATCCACTTTTATTTAGTCCACAAACAACCAAGCCTGACCCGACCTGCTGTCGCTTCTCCAGCCCCGGAGGAGAGGCTCTCAGCCCGGGTTCATGGATCTCTTAGCTCCAGAGGCTCCTCCACATCTTGGTGATTTTGCAGGAAAAAAGAGTGGAAAATATGCTTTAATCGCTGGTTGAATCTCCGACACGGATTCATGCATGCAGCAGACTTATTTCCTGAGTCTGCATGCAGCCCCTGAGCTTTCTCCCCCCATATGGGAGCTTTTTCTTCCCTCTGGAGGACGCACACTGAGGGGAAACGCCGCCCATGACTCACAGTTTCTGCGGTGCTCTCCTGGAGCTTTAAATCCACACACCCATATGCAGAATATCTTCCGTAGACTTCTTTAGAAAGCTTTTAAGACACACAGCAAATGTGTTTTCTGCAAAACGCTGCTGTCCTCTCAAATTCTGGCAGTTCGCGTCACTCCTTGGCTGTAGTGGGCAACTCTCGCGAGAACATCTGTAAATAGCCGAGGCTGCTGGGACTTTTTGCCACATAAATTATGCAACATGGACATTTATATATGTTCCATAAACATGGGTAAGCACATTGAAGTTACACCTATACACTCATGCAGTAAAATCTACACAAGTGGCACTTAAACTCGTTATTTAAAAAAAAAAAACTGAACTTTTTCATTTAGGGTTAAGAGTTTTTGTTAATTTCCCTCTTTATTGTGAAGAAAAAACAATAAAACGTAATTCATTTCAAGCTTACAAAACATAAAACACCACAACAAAAACACTTGAGACTCTGTAAGGTAGATAGAATTTATTCATTATTTTACACCAGCTATACAGTTAATGTGGACAGATGAGTGGAGCACGACAATATGATGCAGAGCAGCATCACCTGAAAATATACTGTTACAGCACTGATAAATACCCAGAGGTCTTATGACATTATATGCCCTAACTTCTTTGTTTTTGTGAAAATGTAAAAGGAAACAACTTTTTCTTTCAGATATAGTACGAGGAGGGTCTTAGACCTCATCCACAAAGGGTGTGTTTACGAGGTTGCCGCTGGATGCCATGGTCTTCTTGCCAGTCACAAACTTCTTGGCAGCCTGAAAACAAACAATACAAGTTGAGAGCCACGTTATTAACTTCAAACCAATGTTTTCACACAGCATATTTAAAAAACAAAACTGCAGTAGATTCAGTATTATACATCTATGCCTATTATGAGAGCCAGTGTTACAGTGTCTACTCAGAACAGTACATATTTAAAGATACGTTTACTATAGTATTGTCCCTTTTTACTTCTACTCCACTACGCTTTGGAGTAAATATTGTGTTTTTTATATTAAATATATTGGTTATCTTTAGTTACTTTGCAGATTAAGATAAATAATACAGAACTTATATCCACTAATAAGTATACATTATTGAAAGGTTAAGATACCAAGCAGTATACAAAGTAGTTTAAAACAACAAGTACCCCGTACAACATTCTCATTCATCTCTACTGACAATAGCAGAGCGAGTTTCTTACGTTGGCGACGTCGGTCAAAGAGACGTTGTCGATGTTTGTGGAGACTTCTTCCGTGGAGCTGTAGCATCCCTCGGCCAGAGCCTGAGAGCCCATGGCCTCCAGGAGACCCTCGGAGGTCTCCAGAGACATCAGGATCTCGGCCTTCAGCTGGGCCCTGCGGAGAGAACCAGCACACGCTCAGCATAAGATACAATACAGGAAACTAGGAGGAGAAATGTTGTCTTGGTGAAGAACAAGGGGAGAACAAGATGTTTTAAAAAGTCCAGTTACAATGGTTAATAACCGTTCACAGGAAATGGAGAGAAACAGCTGACCTGGCTCCAAACAACTTAGTAAAGCATGACTTAAATGAATATAAAAAAAACATGTTTGACCATTTCTTTAATCTGTTTATAAAACAAGATGTGAGGCTATTTGCAGAACCATGTATTGTCATCTTTGCACTGACAAGATGTTTATTTATTTATAATTTTTTTTTAAATATTCTTTTTTATCTCTTAGCAAGAAAACTGAAACTACTCCTTTTACATCTCGTTGAAATAAACCTAATGCCTACTGAAATGTTCAGTTAGATGTTATAGAAGTAGCAACCATACGTTACTAAAAGTAGTGCTTGCAAGAAATCGTGTCTTCCACATAATGTTTTTGGTGCTTATTGTAAACTGGAATAGAAATATAAAAATGATCAATGCAGAGAGGAATCTTTTCACAGTGGTTTCTGCATGTCTTACTTGGCCCGAGTGAGGTCAGCCGCGGTGACGTCACCGTCAGCAACAGCCTTCACCTCAGCAAGAGCGGCCTTAATCACCTGCAGAGACAAAGACAGATATTACATAAAGCCATCTTTCTGTTACAACCCAAACAGACTCTTGGCATGAATAAAAGAAACTCACATCAGCAGCAGCTGCAGACTGGGAAATGGTGTAGACCCCAAAGAGACCAGAGTCAGAGTAGCTTGTATTAAAAGCGCTGACCTGTAGAGAGAAAAAACATGTTTTTAAAGGCACTGTTGAATCTTTATTTGCCCAAGTTGTTTGCTCACATCATGTGAAGCAGCCTTGGGTCCCTTGAAAGGCACCAAAATAAAGATAATCTATTATTAATCTATGATATTTCCAGATTCAAGCCATTCAAGGCCTCCGTGTGTGAAGCATTTCTGTTATAACTGACTATCACTCACATCAAAGGGGTCAGCAGTTGCCTTGGTAACACCCTGCACCAGTTTGCTGGAGGTGCACGAGCCCCTCTTGACATGCAGCCCGGCCCCCAGAATGTGCTGCAGGACGCTGTAGGCCAGAGCCTCGCCGGAGCCCGCCGCCGCCGACTCGCTCACCACCGCCGAGTGCACCAGGGCGCCGAGGCCGGGCAAGCGCACCTCGCCTTCAGACGGGAATACAGGGAGTTATACGTTTAAATGTTTAAGGAAAACTCCCCATGTTGCAGCACATTGGTGTGCGTCCAGCTCACCTCCACGGTACTGAGCCGCGGCCCCCATGGTGCCCGTCCCACTGCGGATGTTGAGGAACTGCTCTCCAACTTGAGTCAGCACCTCGTGGTTCACACCTGACGGAGAGACGGACATCTGACACTCATTTCTTATAAGGACAGCGTATGTGCAGGAATCCTGAAGTCAGATGTAAAACCTTTTAAGACCTTTTTTAAGACCCTTTCCATACATTTTAAGACCTCATCGCCACTTGGAGTTTTAACCGGTTACATTGGCGACACACTTTACCTCACATTGACTATATACAGTATTGATTGTCCTTCCTCCTTATCTTCCAACCATTTGGACGCAAACTTGCATTTTCCCATAACGATGTTGCTTAGCAACCGGCATAAACGGACCATCGCGCGCTATCAAGCAGTGAGCGTGCGATGTCCTGTTCAGATGACGTCAAATCCAACGGGATGCCATAAATAAACTACACAGAATCACACTACACACCTACGCAATGATTACATTCAGGCAGACTGTAGAATACAACCTCTTTGGACCATTGATATACTTATTGAACACAAGCTACAAAATGTAATACCTTGGAAAATGCCGTTTATTACTTTTTAACAGCCTTCATTTTCGCTAAATTGATTTATCAACTTGTAATACTTTTTAAGACCCCGCGGCAAACCGTGGGTATGTACAGAATTCAATTTTTCTTCATTCAGGAAGGTTTAATAAAGAAAGTTCAAATGTCTCATATCATATTTTATTACTTCATCAACCCTTAATGGAAACCCTAAGGAAATTTCACACTGAACGTTATTTATAGTATAAAATGTATTTTTTCCTTTTTGAAATAGACCGTCTTTTATGAATTAAAACCTTCGTTGGTGTTTTCTTTTGTTTGCAGCAGCCGGAGTCAAACAGTTTTTTACCACAATGAAAATGATGCTTTTGAAAAGCAACAAACAGATAAAAACTAGTGAGAATATATTTCCTTAGTTATTGGAAAGAGATTTACAAATTATACAACAATTTGAATAACAATATCAGCATAGCCTAATCTTCTCTTTATCTATGCAGAAATACCTGCTTTACACACAACTAATAAACAACACCACACATTTGACTGTTGAGGTTTCTAACTATTTAGTACATCCTTTATAGGCGTCATGTGATACACTGCGTTCAAACGTTGCTGCTATCCTTCTATGTATATTATGTTTAAAGCATAACAACCCCTTACCAAGTCCAACAAGAGCCATTCTTGCGCTCGTGAAATTGTTCTGGACAAACTGGTGCAGCTGGAGAATAAAAAACAACAACATTAGAATTGTTTTAATGGGTTCATTATCACTGCAAGTCTTGAAGAATGAACACTGGAAAAGTACTCACATGTTCAGAGGTGATGTTGCCGACCATGTGGTTAGGACAGTACAGAGAGTTAGAGAGAGCGTTCTTGTAGGCGGCTTCATGCAGAGCCTCGAGCAAATCTGGAGAACACAAAGAGACATGATGCGAGTTTATCATTTAAGTCAACATGTGTGATATCCTGGTGGAGTAATTGGCTTTGTTCCACCTGTCTAATTCATTTATGTCTCTTAGGTCGCATTCACACCAGCCTTGTGTAGTCCGGTTGAATCGAACCCTGGTGCGTTTAGCCGCTTGGTGCGGTTCGTTTGGGTCGGTGTGAACGCAGCCCGAGACCTCTGAAGTGAACTAAACAACCGGACTCTGGTCCGCTAAAAGAGGTGGTCTCGGAGCGCTTGCTAGTGAACTCTGGAGCGGATCATCGCTGGTGTGAACGCAGTCCGCACCAAAACATAGGAAGCGTAGTATTTACGTGTCACAAGAACGCGGATGTCTTCAGAATTGTTAGCGAAAGAGTGAAGCAGAATTAAGTGTTGATCAGTGTCGTGTAAAGTAAAAACAACTATCAAACTAAAAACTATACATAAAAGTCAGAGCCACCTGCCGTCGGTGAAACCCCCTCCTTACTGCAGAACGTCTCATGATATGCGTTATAATGTTTTTTATCGCACATTATCTGATTATATAATCATATGCGCCGTCTGTTAGTCCATTGATATGCTCTCCAGATTAACAGCAGCATGAAAATAACCTGCCGATGCTCCATGGCGGAGGCTCCGATAGAAATGGCTGGGATTTGCGTTTGTACCCCTTTAATGTCTGACCAATTGTTGAACAGCATTTCCGAGCACATGACTTGTGTTTAAAGTTTATAGTCCGTTAGAATTGTTCCCGTGTGAACGCAAAGCGAACCTTCTGAAAAATGAAACAAAAACTGTCGTCTGGTGCGCACCAGAGAAGCGGACTATTAGGTGTGAATGCGACCTTAAATAACAGATTTTTGAGGGAATGTCTCACCAACAATTACATGAAACAACTTTATACACTAGATGCTGGATGCTGTCGTCTTTGCAGTAGTATTTCGATTTAAAAGAACGTAGCATTGCAGCTTTATTTGTGAAAAAAACTAAATGCAAAACATATTTCTGATATCATCAATCAGCAAAGAAGCATCTTCAGAGTTAAATTGGACTATACTCCGCAGAAAGGAGGAGGGAATGATAATTAATAAGTGGTCAATATAGACCTAAAAAAAATTAAGAGGTGAGATCAAAAGGCAAAGAGAAATAAGGGCCCACCGATCTGAGCGCTCTGTTTAGCCTGGGCATTGTCCCTCTTGACTCTGGGCGTGAGGTCTGACACCTCCCATGGCCGAAACTCAGGGGCTGTCGTCACGTTGATCAAATACTCCATCACCGTGTCACTGCAAATAATAAAAATTTTAAAAAAAATCACAAAAACATGTTAGTGGCAAAGCTACACCAATACTATATTAAGTCCTGTAGCATAATCTGCCTTTCCACCGGACTCTCCGAAGTACCAAACAGTTATTCTTTCACAAAAATAAGGTGTCATCAGATTAGGCCCTGACCTTCAAATGATTAATATCAAGATTCCTGTTGATTTCTGTTAAGTGTATTATTATTATTAGTCACTACGTTGAGGTATTCAAAGACTCACAAGTCATCTCTCAAGCAGTCAACGGTGTAGACCATGTTCTCTCTGGATGAAGTCACACTGCCGAGAAACAATTAAATATCCAGATAAGCATACTGATCTAGGAACAACTTGTATTCAAAGGTTAGTAATGATCTTTCTGTAAAGTTACTGACCCCAGGCTGCCTCCCACTGCCTCAACACCGCGGCATATCTTAAAAGCTGAGGCTCCTTTGGTTGTCTGGGGAAGCAGAACATGTCAGTCAACACCAAGCTGAGGACTTTTTAACACTAAATTGTAAATGAAACTTGTTAAGTGTTATTGCAAGTTGAGAAAAAATTGTTTTGCCATGAATTTAGTGATGGATTCTAAACATTCAAAATAAATAATTGGGCGTTTTCCACCAATGGCACAGCTTTGTATCTCTTTATCTTTTCTACCAAAACATTTTTTGCACAGGTCAGGGGGTACATGGCTGAATAAATATTACAAAAACATTTGGAATTAACTGCTGCATCATACCAGGCTGGAGGCCAGTCGGAGGACGTGGGTGACCCCCTGGTTCTCAGGGGTCTCATAGCGACAGCCGGACCTCACAAACACTCCGATCTTGGAGGCGGGCGAGTAATTCTCCAGGGAGGCGATCACCAGTCCGCTGGGCAGCCTGGTCACCTGCAGAATATTCGCTGCTGATTACTAACGAATATCCGGAGCCCGAAAAATGGTATTCTGGACATCCCTATGTTTCCACTTGTCAGCCGATAGGACTCAGTTTACATTTTAGAAAGGCTCCTCTTAAGGATTTAACACTCAACATAATGATAAGACTTCTTAAACATAAAATACAAGTCAAATGGGACTATTTCTACAGGCAAAGCAACTCATCTCTTCATTCTCAGACCCAAAACTAAACTGACTGGACCCATCCAACCCTTCCTCTTCACTCCCCCAACATACATGGATGTCCTGGAGGGAGTGTGCGGCCCCTGGAGAGAGCTTGATGCCATTCAGTGGCTGAGCGAGAGACTGGCTTGTTCTGGCAGCCACATGGAAGTGTCTCTGTGGAGAAGAAACAACACATCAACAACTACTGACCTGCACATCCTGCGGCTGAAACTTAACATGTTCAGCGGCGGTGAACTCCACCTTACGGGCAGCCTGGGCCGCGTAAAGCCTCGTCTGGAAAGTAGAAAAAACATGGGAAGGCGGGACATTACAGCTAATGTGTTGCTGGCTTGCTGATTGATGCAAGGGGGAGGAGGAAGATCCGGGGGAATTAAACATTGTGGATTTATAAAGATTTATAGATCGATGAGAAGGGAAAGGGTCAATATCAGAATAACACTTCTAAATATTTTAGAGCTGCCAAGCTATTTGGTAATATGGGCATGGATAACACAAGATATATAGAAGCTTATGGTGACTCAATTATTTCTCGTTAGTCTTCTAAGCAATATCGCAGCTCATATATCGGTTCAAGATTATTCAGATAAACATATCATCAGCAGCCATCAAAAAAAAGCTGTAACATGAAAAAGACTAAAACCCAACCTTCAATAGAGACTGAGTGGATAGATATTGAGGTAAATATTCAACGTTTGAGAGGATTCCTTTTTCCTAGGCCTGGCACAATAAACACATGATGTATTCTAGTAATTGCCACTGAAGTGACTTCAGATGTTAAATCAGTCACAAACCAATTTAGATTTATATTAGCATTTCAAACAGCAAAATAAACGCAAGGTTTTTTTTAATACACAGGGAAAAAAACACAAAGACAGATTGGTTTTAATACATGTAGTAATAACTTGTGCTCTCCCTTGTCTAATATACAAGTCCAAACCTATATAGACTTTTACTGTTTTGCTAATTTCTTATAAAATAAATGTTTTAAAAAAAAGATAGAAACACAAATAGGCTGATTAAAGCCAGCTGTCATCACACAATATTAGGTCAACATTTGTTGTGGAGTTAAGTCTACGAGAAGCTAGCTCTTACTACTAAGGCTTTGACTTAAGTAAATATGGTTTAAGTTAACAGTAAGTTATGTTTATAACGACCATTACTGTAATGTTTATTATGTAAGCTAACGTTATCAGTTGGGTTACTGCTGGATAGCATCAGGTTAGCATTAGCTGTTCCTCCTCTGCTCTTCATCACACCTTGACCCTGAGCTTTTCCACCCTCTGACAATCACACAAACACTGAAACAGACAGCTAATGACTGTATATCTCTCCCAATACACATATATACAGGATAAATTAGATAAATCCTTACCGAAAGCTGACTAATTCCACGAATCCCCTTCATCTCCCCTCTCTCCTTCAGGAAATCTGAGCAATATGGCCGCCGTGTGTGCCCTACCCAGAATGCCTAGCGCGTTCCTTGCCGGCTAATGAACCGCTGAGCCAATGAGCGCCCTCTGTTGTTGATGGGTGACAAGACCACAAACTGTTTATTATTCTAAATGGGATATATATATATATACATTTCTGCACTGCAAAAAAAACGTAAAACCTTTGCATATGTGTTTTGGAATTGTACCACGAAATGGTGGCTCCATTCTTATAACAGATAACTTTATAGGTGATTTTATTGTAATTTAATAACGCATGAATAATGTTGTTGTTTTATATTATTGATACTAAATTGATTTTACTATCAGAAGGTTTATATTTTTATTGTTGTTGTTTATTATTTGATATCATTCATATAATTAATATTTCATCATTAATCACAGTTTAAAATGTAAAAAAAGCCAACAATGTGCAAACCGGGAGAAAAAAAAAAGGACTTCCGGTCGTTTTCAGCTGGTGTAGCCAGTGCGCATGTGCGAATATTCCACACGTGTGGTGGTGATCGTTTGACTGGCTGGATGCAACAGAGAGCTTAGAAAGTTAATATCGGTACAACATATTGCTTAAAGAAAACTCAGCGCAAGTTTAGTTGTCTCTTCTTACCGAGGTAAAAGACGAATAACCTCCGTGAAGCATTTCGCCGAGAGGACAGAAATACCCAAAAAACTAATTCACAATGGTGAGTGTTGTGAGTAGGCTAACTTTGAGCTAACATTAGCTTAAGGTAACAACGTTGTATGTCGTACAAACCTCATCCCAACCTCCTTGTTTGTCCACTTTATATGGAGCTTTGCTGTTGTTAATGTGTGTTAAATGTTGTTTTATTTCCATGTTCAGACTGAAGCAGCAGTAAACCCAAAGGCCTACCCGCTGGCCGACGCCACGCTGTCCAAGACCATCCTGGACCTGGTGCAGCAAGCCTCCAACTACAAACAGCTCAGAAAAGGAGCTAATGAAGGTGAGGAGACGTAAATATTGGGAATTAAATGTAACTAGATGGTGGCTTCAAGTAGAACCTGGTAGTTGGATAATTTGCTACTTTCAGAGCTATTGTAACATCAGGAAAGGCTGCGAAACGCGGTCTCGTTCAGGTTAACAACAAACGCAGCAGCATGTGTGGGGAAAAAACTCATTGTAAACCTGCAGGGATTTGTCAATTACTTTTTTATCTTTTCAAAAGTAAAAACATCTCTTCAATTAATCTTTTAGTCATTTAAAAAAAAAAATCTTAAATGGCAAATATCTTTCTGATGCAGCCTCTTAAACATGAATTGCTTGTTTCTATCAGGGTTCTTACGGTCATTAAAAACCTGGAAAAGTCATGGAAATTCAAAATGCTAATTCCAGGCCGTGGAAAAGTTATGGAAAACAATATTTTTTTTGCTGGTGAGAGATTTTAGTTGCTTTAGTCTGTAGACGCTAGCAAGCCTACTATTTTATTTTGTTTTAGATAGGCACAACATGTTTCATATGCAGACCTTATTTTCCTGTTCCATGTTAAAATAAACCATTTTCAGTGTTACTGCTGAGAGTAATTTTTTTGGTCCTGGAAAATTAGGTAATGGTCATGGAAAATCATTGGTGAAAAAGTGTATGAACCCTGTTCTATGATTTACCAACTCAAACTAGCTACTTGTTTGAATTTTGAGTTTAGTATCATGAATCAACATCATTATTTACATTGTTCAAAATTATTAAACCAATAATCAAAAAAATCTACAGATCTCAGAATCAGTTCTTAAACCAGTAGGCCACCGTTTTGTTGCTGCCAAAAGAATAACTAAAGTAATGACGATGTATCAGTGATGTTAACGCATTGTACTAATTGTGATTTAATTCTTCCCCAGCCACTAAAACCCTGAACAGAGGCATCTCTGAGTTCATCGTGATGGCCGCTGATGCTGAACCTCTGGAGATCATCCTCCACCTGCCCCTGCTGTGCGAGGACAAGAACGTCCCATACGTGTTCGTCCGATCCAAGCAGGCTTTGGGTCGGGCCTGCGGGGTTTCTCGCCCCGTCATCGCTACCTCAGTCACCATAAAGGAGGGGTCCCAGCTCAAACCACAGATCCAGTCTGTTCAATTGTCCATTGAGAGACTGCTCGTCTAATTTTTGTTGCACTGTTGTAACAAAGTCTCCTCTGAAAAACGAGGAAGACGTTATCTTGTCATCTGTTTGATGAAAAACAGATATGAATGACAGGAAAATGTAATAGTTTTTCTTTTGTACTTTTTAGGACAGTGTGTCCACTTCATTGTATCAGTTTGCGAAGGCATATCCTGATGAATAAAAAATACTTTTTTTATTTAAACCTGATGTTTTGTTCTGTTCTCATTCAGTGTGAACTTCAAAAGTCGTCTAAAAATCAAAATATTTAGGAAAGTAAATAATTTTCAGAAAAGCCTCACATTGCTTTACCTGTCTTTTAATCCATTAAAGAACTCTGTCACAATAACATGGTTTTATTGTGCATAACTGGCAAACCTCATATTTGAATATAACAGATTGGGTTGTTCTGGTGAGGTATTGAATGTGATGAAATATGAGCAAAAACTTCACTCAAGCTATGTTGTTCATTATCAATATAAAAGTTGGCCCTTGAAGATATGGGGTTAAAACTTTTTTTTACATTATAAAACAAAAATACTAAAAGATACTTTCTACATAAACCCACAGCGATAGATATCAGTAGCTCTGTCGAAATAAAACTGGCTATAGTGAAACTAAGTACTTACTGAACCTGTTTTTGGAAAATACTTTCACTTTGAATAAAAGTAGAGATACTTCAAAAACTAAAAACCTTATATTCACTCAAGTACAATCTAAAATATATATATATATACATATAGCAGCAATGACTTAAATTATTATTCTTCTATTTTGGGGGAGTGGCTTTTAAAGGAGTCCTGAAGGGACCGGCTGTCTTGCCAATTTTCAGTTGAACTACTTCACGGCTGTGCTACTTTCATTTGGAAACATTTTGCAACACATGGCTTGGTTTTATGGCTGGACATATTATAACCTCTTGCTTACTCTTGCTGTTTTTCCCAATTGGACCAACCCTACCTTTGAGGCAAACATTCAGAAGTCACTGAACTTTAAAAACCTTCTAAATCAGAGCTTTACTGCGGCTCTTGAATGCAACACGTATACCAAGTGAGCTTCTAAACTCTAAACACCAAACTCACCGCAGTAACTGATCTGAGGAGCTGAAGCATGGCCGGACCTCCTGCTGTGATCTGGGAGCGCGAGGTGGAGGGTCTGCTGCGGTACCGAGAGCTGGTGCCCCGGCTGGAGGAGGCTCTGGGGAAGTTCTCCAGCCGGGACCCCGCAGAGGTGATCCAGCCTGTGCGCGCCACCGTGCCGCTGCAGAAACACCACGGGTATGCCTCAATGATGAAGCTTTGATTTTAATATGTAGTTGCATTGTTTACTTGTTTGCTATAGAATATATTGCACGGTGTAACTGGTTCAATTAATACACATTGAATCGGCAAGACAAAAGTAATATTTTCTTCTGTCTTTGAGGTTATTAAAAACACCAAAATGATCTGTGAAATGTAAACCCTTTATGCAGTAGTAGAAAGTATCTTTTAACTTATTCTAGAATTGTATTTAAGTATTTTTGTTGACATAATTTGCACTTTACTTTAATATTTTCTGTACTAGTTCAGAGGAACATTTTGGACTTTTAACTCCACTACTTTTAACCCTCATAGTTACTTTGTGCACATTCAAACACATGCATGCTGATGTTATATAATGTATAATACTTTAACTTTTTGTACTTTAAATAAATACTGATGCTTATACTTTACTTCTTTTACTTGAGTAATATTTTGAAATCAGGACTTTTACTTGTAATTGAGTAGTTTCAGATCTTTCAAAACTGCATTTAGTTGATTTGCCTGTTACCTTGTCCTTGTTACCTCCTTTATGGCGGCATGTTAATTATTGATCTTTCCTGGTAAATAGATAACGTTTTTTCCTTAACCGCTTTCCAAAAGGAAAGTCATATTTGACATGTAAAGAAAGCCCAATGTCCTCTCAATCATACTTTCTAGAAAATAGCTTACATTTCCTTTGATTATAAGGCATTATATAATATTTAGTTATCACTTCCAAGCAAATTCCTTCCAGTAGTTTGGTTGTCCGACATTAAAAACAAGTTGTATTTCTGACTGACCCTCCTTTTCTTTCACAGCTTTATGGGATTGATGCCTACATACATGGAGAATAAGGGAGTCCTGTGCACAAAGTTTGTGTGTTTCTACAAGAGGGAGGACGGTTCAAATTTGCCGCCCACACAGGCCACGGTGGTGCTGCTGGACCCGGAGTACGGGAACGTAAAGGCTGTGAGGAAAACCTTATTAAACACAGGCAGGGATCCCTTAAAGGTCACCTATTATGCAAAATCCACTTCTTCATGTCTCTTCTACATCAACATGTGTCCCCTCTTCTTCATGTCTCTTCTACATCAACATGTGTCCCCTCTTCTTCATGTCTCTTCTACATCAACATGTGTCCCCTCTGTGGAAAGAAACTCTGAAAGTTTCAGGGAAAAAGATTCTCTCTCTTTTTGTCCTGATCCGCCTTGGATGAGGACAGCTGCAGTGCGCCCTGCTAAGTATCATTGGTTCTACATCAACATGTGTCCCCTCTGTGGAAAGAAACTCTGAAAGTTTCAGGGAAAAAGATTCTCTCTCTTTTTGTCCTGATCCGCCTTATCACCTGAATCTCCTCCGAGAGCACCATTGTGTTCTTTTTAATCAAATATCTCTCAGAGGGGCGTGGGGATGGGC